GGTGGCAATTCAACAGAAAATGGAATTCGAAATTTTTGAATAAACCAAACAGAATTAAGCATATGAATGCCCTTCTCTAATTATATGCGTGCAAGTGCCAACGAAAATATAATATCCTGAAAATTCTTCTCAAGACAAATCTACACTTATCATTTTCCAACTTCAAAACTGAGAATTAAAACAACATTATTGGTCAAGCAATCAAATGAAATCTCTGCCAACTGGAAAAATCAAATGAAATTGTATAAGCTATCAAGGAAGGGAACATTTTTAAAAGAAAAAGGCTAGCGATGGTCTCTATCTTTTCTTTTAGGGAGCAATGGTCTCTATCTGATTACATCAAAACATGCATATACCTTCTTTACAATTCCACCCAATTCTTAACAGGTTATCTCAAGTTAAAATGCTATTACGAGATGCTAACCTAAGTCCAGAGAAGCATTTTCACCGTCAAAGGGGTCTCTTTGTCCTGCTCGCCATGTGTGTATATAAGGTGGCCACGGTGATGCACATGTATCCACGACGAACTGACTGCCCTGCTGCCAGAGTTGTGTTTACTACCACACAGCTTGTTGGCTTGTTGCCATGGCGGGCAGGGGGGCCAGCATCAGCAGAATACGGATGGCGGGGCTGCCCGGGACGGGCGCCGGTGGCCACCATGCCGTTCCGACTGGTGGCGCCGCCGTGGCGGTTCACGGTGAGCCGACGCTGGGGGACACGCCGTTGTCCGTCTCCTTCAGCGTGCCGAGCTCGCCGTCCGGGATCCACCTCGCGCAGGGACGACTCCGCATGCCCCCGTCCGCCCACGCCAGCATCGCTGAGGTGCACGCCACTCCGGTGCTGCCAAGCGAGTCAGAGCAGGTCGAGGGTCGCCATCTCGTCGTGCCGCAGCTGGTAAAGCATGCCCAACACCACTCGCAGTCGTCGCTGGTGATCCAAAGTGCCGGAGAGGGGCCGCGGAGCAACAGCACGCGCGAGCTGGACCGCCAATTCGACCAGTTCAGGACCTTCTCCGGCCGGCACAACCGCCAGCTCTCCAACCTCCGTGGCCTGCCTCAGGACCCGCCGGGGACGGACGTCGAGCACGGTGCAGTGTCCAAGCTCTTCGAGGAGGACACCAACGAGGATGACGACGTCCCCACCGCCGACCGCTACTTCGCTGCCCTCGAAGGACCTGAGTTTGACACCCTTCGTGTATGTACCGTGTCCGTGCCCCCAAACTTTCACCTTCCTTACTAAAACCATCGTCGTTGGTCTCTAACTAAAGCATGGACATGCAGTCAACAGAGGTGGCGGTGCTGCCCAAGGACGAGCCATGGCCATTCCTTCTTCGGTTCCCGATTAGCGCATTTGGGATGTGCCTTGGCGTGAGCAGCCAAGCGATGCTATGGAAGACGCTCCAGTCGGAGCCCTCTACGGCATTCCTCCGCGTACACCCTGCCGTCAGCCACGTCCTCTGGTGGATCTCACTCGCCCTCACCGTCATCGTCTCCATCACCTACCTCCTCAAGGTTGTCTTCTACTTCGAGGCCGTCCGCCGCGAGTTCCACCACCCTGTGCGCGTCAACTTTTTCTTCGCGCCCTGGATTACCTGCCTCTTCCTTGTCAAGGGTGTGCCACACCCGGTGTGGGAGATCCACCATGTCGTCTGGTACCTTCTCATGGCGCCCATCTTCTGGCTCGATATCAAGATCTACGGCCAATGGATGTCCAGTGGTGAGAGGCGCCTCTCCAAGGTGGCCAACCCATCCAACCACCTTGCCATTGTCGGCAACTTTGTCGGCGCGCTACTTGGTGCCAGGATGGGCCTCCGGGAGCTACCAATCTTCTTCTTCGCTGTTGGGTTCGCCCACTACGTTGTGCTCTTTGTCACCCTCTATCAGCGGCTCCCCACCAATATGCAACTCCCCAAGGATCTCCACCCGGTCTTCTTTCTTTTCGTCGCTGCGCCTAGTGTGGCATCCATGGCCTGGACGAGGATCTCTGGCGAGTTCAACGATGGTGCCAAGCTCCTTTACTACGTCTCACTCTTCCTCTACGTGTCATTGGTGGTGCGCGTCAACCTCTTTTGGGGGTTTAGGTTCTCGCTGGCGTGGTGGGCATACACATTCCCGATGACAAGTGTTGCCCTGGCGACGGTATTGTATGCATCAGAGGTGGACAACTTGGTGACGCGAGCAATGGCACTCGGGCTTTCGGGGATTGCCACCATGACCATCATTGTGGTGCTGGCCGCCACCATGTACCACGCCTTTGTGCGCGGAGACCTCTTCCCTAATGATGTGTCCATCACCATCACAAAGCAGAGACCTAAATTCAGCAAGATTCTCGCTCACCTTCAGACGTGTGGCTCCGATGTCAAGGAGCTCGTTGTCTCTATCCCCAATTTCAATTCAAATTCCAAGCAAGGCGCCTACTCTGACGACTCTGACTCCAATGCTAGGATGAACAACTGACTCGATGAGGGTCCAATGACTCACATGCATGGAAGAGCATGGCGTTAGATGGCGCTGGAAGACATTGTATGCATGGAATGCACGCGCATCTGGTTTACAGTGATGAGTACAAACTCATTTGTACATAATTCTTTCTCTGTGTTTGTTGAAGTATCATAATTTGCCAATTTTGCTGCACACAGTGATGGATTGGCAGCAATATCCTCGAGCAATTTGCATTGCCATGATGATGATATGATTTCAGGAATAAACTGTTGGGTTTGTAAATTTAGTGGTTATTATATTCGTGTTCTTCAGAAGTGCACATAAACCTCAGTCACATTTTTAGAACTCCAGTGCCATCTACATGTAACTCCATCAAATTCTCTCAAGAAAGAAAAGTAACTACATAAATAAATAAAGGTTTTTTTATCATCTATGCCACAGTACAAAGCTTTTAATGGAAGGTGCATATAAATAAAAAGGGTGTGGCTAGGTCTCAGCCGACTGAGACTTTACCAAGTCTAAGTCAAGTGACATAACATGTAAGAAACAAAAAAAAAACTAAAATTAAAATTTTGCATGTATCTCCATGTAAGATCTTGTGGATATAGCATCGACTGGGACTTGATTAAATCTCAGTCGACTGAGATTTATCAATCCCGAAATAAGAATGTGCCCAGTGTGTGCTACTTTAGAAGTGAGAATTACAAAATTTGAAGGCAGAGGAGTATATTAGATAAAATATTATTCTATGTGGCTCAACACCAATAAAGATGGCTGTATGCATCGATTGATGTAGAGGCCGGATCTTAACCTTCCTTTTCTAAATCTAAAAAAGAAATATGGCTCAACACCAATGTTGCAATTTTCGGTCAACCAGAGGATCGATGCCGTTGAATGCACATGTCACTTCCCTCTTGTAGTGGGCTGAAACCAAGTTTCCGTGTCCCGTGGTCTGTTTGTTCGAACTTTCCCATGCAGTTACGATCCGTACTTCATTTATGTGAACTAACTCCACAAATTCTTTTCCTCAAAAAATAAAAAACCACAAACTCTTCTCTCAAGAAAACTCTACAATTCTTTCTTCACTACTAGCATTGAGCATTTGAAGTATCTACATAATAAAGTTCTTCCCTCAGGTAACATGTGTCCTACTAGTCTCAATGAGGCCAAGAAGATCGTGCACCCTCTTGATATGCCCCACATTAGATACCATGCATGCATCAACGATTGTATCATTTATCGGAAGGATTATGCGGAAAAAACCAGTTGTCCAGTGTGCAATGCCTCTCGATACAAGAAGGCCGGGTAGAAATCTCCTCAGAAAATTGTATGGTACTTATCGATCACTCCCCATCTGTAACACTATTTCGTAGATTCTAAGGAAGCAAAGCTCATGTGTTGGCACGCAGAGAGGGTGAAGCCCGACAACGGAGATGATCCAAAGCTGAGACACCTCGCGGATGCTAGCCAGTGGTGAGAATTGAACGCCGAATATGGATATTTCGCAGATGATGCAAGGAACATCTTCACTACTAGGGAAAAGCCTAGCAGTAGCGCGGGTTGGAGGCGTAGTAGT